ACGGGGACAGGGACAGGGCTGAGCAGGGTCAGGACTCACCAGGGGCCGCGTGGCCCAGGCTCAGCAGGAGGGGCAGTGCCAGCACCAGCAGACTCAGCATCTGGAAGGAGCCAGGAGGGGTTGCCTGACCCAGGGCGGCTGAGCCAGGCGGGGTCTGTAGGGTGTGGGTGCAGATGGAGTCGAGGACCTCGGGATGAGGGGGTCTGCAGGGTGTGGGTGCAGATGGAGTCGAGGACCCCGGGATGAGGGGTTCTGCAGAGTGTGGGTGCAGATGGAGTCGAGGACCCCAGGATGAGGGGTCTTCAGGGTGTGGGTGCAGATGGAGTCGAGGACCCCGGGATGAGGGGTCAGTTCAGACCTGGAGTCTGAGGTCCTGCTGCTCCAGATGTGAGGCTCAGCTACTTAGTGCACGAACCCCAGATGGTGGGGTCTGGTGGGGGTGCTTACCTTGACCGGTCCCTGCTGCTATTGCCCAGTCCACTCTCTCCTCCTCATTTATCCTTCCAGATTTGGGGGTGTGGGGTGGGGGGTCAGAGGAGTGTTTGCTCCATCCTCCAATCCAGAGCGGAGGAAATGGATGATTCAGACCCAGAGCCCTGCTCTGGCGCCCAGGTTATCTTGGATGTTCGGCAACGTCCGTGTCTGGGTGTTATCTGAGCAGTTCTGCTGATCACCACGGTACCTTGTTATCTTGGGATCTGAGTATCATCAGTGAGGGACAGGCAGATGGAAGTGACAGTGAGATGACAAGCAGCTAGTGCCAGTTCCCCTTGGCCACTCCCCAACCAGGCCCTACTACCCCTGGCCCCCGACCTCCACAACCAGGGCTGACCGCTATCCCTGCCTGTTCATCCACCCAGCTCCTCAGTCCCCTGGGCTTGCTGGTTACTGGAACCTCCAGCCCACCTCACCCCCACCCCCACCCCACAGTGTTCTGATCCTTTTGTGTCACCCTCTGCCATCCAGATGGCCCCTCCTGTGGCCTAGGGGAGCCTCAGCTTGCCCCCGACCCTGACCAGACACCAGCCTGGCTCTGGGACCCATCTGTCCCTGGCTGGCTCCTGTGGCATCTGTCCCAGGTGACCAAGTGCTGGGTCCTGCTCCTCTCCAGATTTGGGGTCAGCTCTTGGCCCTGTGACCTCAGTTCGTTGATTGGGCCCAGAAATGCATTGATTTGCAGTTTGTGAGTGATGTTCTTCCCAGCTGTCTGCAACCTGAGCTGAGG